GAATACAAATGCATATTCCAGACACAATAGCTGTAAAAACATAGCTTAGGTCTTCGGCCCCCCGTTGGAAAAGTAAAAGGTGTTTTTACTCATCTCTTTTCAAGTGCTGAGCAGGTCTTGACACTGTTCTGCGTCCTTCACTGAGATCATCAGAATTGATGATCTTAGCCAATCCAATGCTTTCCCACAGGAAAGCAATAGGAGGCTATTGGACATGTGTGGCAAAATGCTGCGCTGCGCCGATCAGCATCTCCTCATATGTGGGTAGTGTTCAGTGTCTCCATGCAGAGCCGCCTCTAGAATTTAAGCTTGTTTAAAAATGGCCTTCAAAACCCTCTGTTCCTGTGTGTCCAGCTCATCTTGTTGCGAGTACAATGTCTGTTAGTTCACCTATTTTACAGCACGTCGAAATTTGTTGGCTCTTTATAAATAATAATAATACTAACGTCAGTGCCGCACACTGTGCAGCAGTGACTCAGGAAGCACGTCTAGTAGCCGTCTGCGTCATTGCCACTAGAGGTGTTACTAGACAGTAATGTAAACAAAAAAGCAGTGTTAATACTAAAAGGCCTGCAGGGAAAGGCTGTAGACGTAAAAAAAACTACATTGAGCTTTGTCCCTTTAATAATTATCAATGTTCAGATTTTACAACATTGCGTCCAAATTAGATTGAATTTAGACGCAAACAGTAAAATACAAAATTAAATGATGAAAATACACAGTTAGGCATGTTAGGCAGAATTGGCACCTGTCTGCCTGCATATTCAGTTCAACCGGATTTCCACAATTCGGTTCGACAGAATTAGCAGTCAGACAGTTACTATTCTAATAGAAATTATCATTACAAAAAAGCTGTCATTAGCGAAATTTTGATAGCTGCATGGGAAAAACCTTTACATTATCTGAGCAGCTGCAAATAGGCTGGGCTTTTGGTGCTAAGCTGAGCCCCAGTTTTTTGTTAGACCACATGAAAATAAATTCACAGAAAAATGTGGAAGCAACTAAGGACCAAAAACACCAAATGCGTTACAATGAACTTTAGTGGTTGTGGTGCTTATTTTGTCCCCTTAAGAGTAGGGTAAAACCTGAAATCTTATTCTAACTCTAACCTTAAATTTAATATTAACCACTAACCATAATTTTAGGCAAACATGTATCTTAAAACTTACTTTGTATACTTGGTCCCTAAACCCAACCCTAATTTTAACCCTAACCTTGATCCTAGAACACAAACACTATAAACACATGGTTATTTACTAGGGTGAGAATTGCTGGGAAGTCAGAGTGAATTCAAAAGTAATTTTTAAATTTAGGACAAAATAACAGATTCAGATCAATGTTTAGTTTAGCAATTTTTGGCAATTTTTGCCTAACACTTGAAATTCTCTTTGCGTTAACTTTGAATTCCCAACAAGTCTCACTTCAGTGAATAACCCTGCGAGTGCTTGGTTACTGCAAGCACAAAGAAAACTTCACTGATTTTGAAGTGGTAATGGTGCCTGGACTCTGTATATGCAGCGTTTCCCTTTGAAATGCTCCACATGTGGAGATTAAACCTTTCGCTGCCAGAGGTGTAACTCCACCTCCAGTAACATCATAAAGGTGTTATTAGCTAGCCTGGAACTAGAGTTCCAGATGGCTAATGTTAAAGTAACATTGTAGCGTTAAAGGGACACTATAGTCACCTGAACAACTTCAGCTTAATGAGGTTGTTCAAGTGAGAACTATAGCTCCCTGCAGCTTTTCTCATGTAAACACTGTATTTTCTGAGAAAATACAGTGTTTACAATGAAAGCTAGGAACACCTCCAGTTGCAGTAACTCAGAGTGAACCAGAGGGACTTCAGAGTTGATGGAGGCATAATATGCCTCCATCCACTCAGATCTGCTGTCAGCAGAGCACAGGGCAGCACTGTGCACAGCATCCTTTGATTCAGTATCTCCTCCCTGTGCATGCAGACACCGAACTTTCCTCATAGAGATTCATTGATTCAATTCATCTCTATGAGGAGATGCTGATTGGCCAGGGCTGTGTTTGAATCATGCTGACTCTGCCCCTGATCTGCCTCTTTGTCAGTCTCAGCCAATTCTATGGGGAAGCACTGTGATTGGATCAGGCTACCACATGTCAGCAGACTGCTTGTTTTTCCGAGTCTAACAGCATGCAGATTTACAGCTTAAAACTTGAATACAGTAAGATTTTTACTATATTTATGGAGGCATGAGGGGCCCAGGGGGGCTAGATGGTGGTGTTAACACTATAGGGTCAGGAATACATGTTTGTGTTCCTGACCCTATAGTGATCCTTTAAGACTACATATCTGTATTCCTACCGCAACACTATTCATGTCATAACTTTTAGTGAAAATAACAAACAAATCTAAATAAAAATAAATAATTTACTCACCTTCTTTCAAGTGCAGAGTCTCCCTCAGAACTGCTGCGGCCTCCTCCTAATGTGATGTCATCCTGAAGGTGTACCTTCAAGATGAGGTCCAATCCAATGCTCCTCAAAGAACAGCATTGGGGATCGTAGATGCATCACAGCATGGAATTATTCTCTATGACGGCAATGCACATGGGCACGTGACGTCATGATAAGTTAGCGCAGGGTTTCCCAATTAAATTTTTCCTTTGACATGGTATAGCAAAACTTTGGAACCCCAACAAACAAAATGTGTGCTGTAGAGTAGCGCAGCGCAAACTTTTCAATGAGCAGAGTGTAATGTTCTCTTTTGCTGGCAAATTCTTTTTATATGTAGTTTAATTGTTGACAATTGTATATGCATGTCTGCAGTTGCGTCAACTGAACTTAAGTAGGATTTTTGAGTTAGACGTGGAGCAAAAAGATTTGAACACTTTGAAAAATACAGTTAACAGTTTTTTGCCGCTCACAGTCATTTAATGCCCCTGACAGAGTCTTTCAATGCCCTTAACAGAGTCTTTTAATGTCCCCAGCAGAGAATTTCTATGCCCCTGACAGTCTTTCAATGCCCCTGACAGAGCCTTTTAATGTCCCTTACAGAGCCTTTTAATGTCTGTAGCAGAGAATTTCAATGCCCCTGACAGAGTCTTTCAATGCCCCCCAAAGAGTCTTTCAATGCCCCTGACAGAGCCTTTTAATGTCCCTAGCAGAGAATTTAAATGCTCCTGATAGAGCCTTTCAATGCCCCTAACAGAGAATTTCAATGTCCCTACCTAACAGAGCTTGCTATCTATGACAATAACAGAGCTTTAACTATCAGTTGCACTCTCTATCACTCCTCTACCACGAGTAATAGAAAATGGCTGACGGCAGGGCTGGCTGACTGCTGGGCGGGCTGGCTGACGGCTGGGCGGGCTCTCTCACAGACGAGTTAAGTCTAAGTGGCTGGCTGATGGCAGGGTGGGTGCTAGGGCGGGCTCTGACGGCAAAATGTGCTGATGGCAAGGCTGGCTGATGGCAGGGCGGGCTTAAGATCATGCTCCTACAATCTGTTATGAGATTGCGGTTGCACAATCTCTGCTGTTTCCGACCTTCCGGGAACAGCAGGTAGCATCTGCCATCTTGGATGTGGCAAAATGCCGCGGCACCCCAATTGGGAAACGCTGTGTTAGTGTATGAGAGTCTGGATGCACTGTCCTGGCTCTCATATCCAAAGGGCTTGGAGGCGTGGCTTGAATCCATGCTTCCAAGTTTTCTACTGTAGGCATTATAACAACTTCACTAGATAACGTTGTTATAGTGAGTACAGTGATCTTTTAATTGTGTGTGGGCGGGCGGGGGGGACACACTATTTTGGGTGTACATTTCAGTTACCTGCAAATCACAGATTAGCAAATAAATCCCAAATGAAAAAGAATGCTTGCTCGATACCATAATATAGCAAAGATCTGCACAAAATAGCTACCAAAGTACAAGATATACACATACGCACAAAAATTCTGTGCAAGGCATTTAATACAGCTCATTTGTCATTAAATGTGATTCATATATCCAGCACAGGGAAGATTGTGATCTACAGTTCACAATTAGCAGAATACTAATATTTGCATTGTACGGGAACTGTGATCTGCTTAAATGTCAGCAAATGAGCCAAGATGACTTACATCCAAGTCCAACTAATGAAGAAAATTACTTGCACAATATTTACTCCAAGTAGGAAACAGTCAGTTTTCCAAAGGGCAGCTTTAGAGCTTGAGAACTCATATCCACTTATTGTAGTATTCTTTTTGAAGAACCAACATTGCCTACATTGCATTAATTGTATTTAAAGCCGCTTCGTGTCCAAAAACAAACTTGATCTAATCTGCTTCTATAAAGCTCCCTATGTCTGAATCTTTTGGGGCTTGTTGTTGCTCCTATTTCCAAGCATGTTAGTTTTAGAAAAATGTATTAAAAAAAGAAGAAAAAAGAACTACATTTCTAGCCATCAAGTTGTCAAAATGTGACAATAGGGGGAGCTTAAACAAGGTTGTGTTTCAGTTGCCAATCAAATTTACCCTTAATCCATCAGTAAAATTAATTATTATTCCACTAAAGGACAAACTGCAGACATCGTGGGTAGAGGAGAACAAAATGGCTGTGTCCAGATATTGACTTGAAACACAAGAAAAAGTTAAATACCCACTATAGTCACCCAGACCACTTCAGCTCAATGAAGTGGTCTGTGTGCTAGGTCCCTCATGTTTTAACCCTTTACATGTAAACATAGCAGTTTCAGCCAATCCATAAGAAAACTGGGAAAAAAGTAGGACAGGCCACCTTTAAAAGAAATGTGCAAGTATCATAACCACTATAATTTGATGTAGTGGTTATTGCGCCAGGAGATTTCCTGTAGGGTAAAGGTGCAGCTCCCTGCCTCATCTTTAGTGCTATGGAGAGCCAGTTCCTGCTAGGAGCTTCTGTTAGCATGCGGCAGGTAAGTGCTACGAGCCAATGAGCTGAGTCCTGTGATATTGGGCTTAACTAAGGCAGAGAACTTACGCTCTACTATAGAGACAGAGTGACACCTGGCAGGCCCCAGGTAAGAAGTGAAACCGTTAGCAAACAGTTTAACTTCTGACATTGAGGAGGTGGCAGGGCCAGTGGTGTATTTTGGATCTGTGCTGCCCTAGGCATAATGGAACTCAGGAATCCCTAATTTACATTTGCCCCACCCCTTCCTGTCAAGGCCACACCTCTTCATGTTAAAGACTAACACACACTTTGACTGACAGAAACACACTCTCAGATACACTGACATACACACACACTCACTGATTTGACACTATCTGACAGACACCTACAATCACTGACTCACTCACAGGCACACACTGACAGACACACACAATCATTGACAGGCATACACACACATTCACTGACAGACACAATCACTCAGACACACAGGCCCTCTCACAGACACACACAGACCCACAGGCTCCCTCACAGACGCAAACCGACAGACATACACACACACACACACACACTTACAGACAAAAACACTCACACACAGACACACACTCACTCACAAACACACACAATCACTCAGACACACACTGACAAACATACACACACTCACTCACAGACACACACTGACAGACATACACACACACTGACAGACATACACACACACTGACAGACATACATACACACACACTGAAAGACATACATACATTCATACACACACACACACACACACACACTGACAGACAGACACACACACACACTGACAGACAGACATACACACACATCCCCCCCTCCCAACACTTTAATTTAAATCCACCCAGCCTCCCTACTTTTGGGAGAGCTGGGTGGATTTTTTACCTGGGGTCCAGTGGGGCTGCTGGCCGGGCTGGTTGGGCAGATGGGCGGCCAGTTAAGGTCCAGGCAGGTGGCGAGGGAGCGCTGATGTATGAGCTCTCCCTGCTCAGCTCCCTCACGGGCCGCAGAGTGATGCCAGGAGCTGGAATGTGACGCCTGGAGTTAAGCTAGCCGCCTGCCCAGAGGCTAACAAGGCATTTGCCTGGGCATTTCGGCGCAGCGTTTTTTGCTGTCCCATGGAAAGTGCCACCCAGGGCAAATGCCTTGTTAGCCTCACGGCAAATACAGCACTGGGCAGGGCGCTCATGATACCATAACCACTACAGCACAATGTAATGTTTATGGTTCTTGGAGTATTCTTTGAAGGGAAATCACTGCAAAAAAAAATAATTTCAGTACAAACAGTATTATATCATTGCATGCCATTTGTAAACTACAACATGGACCATCCGAATAAAGTCATGCATTCCCTGCAGGACTACAACTTTCATTATCCTCCATGTGCTACTGAGACTCTGCAAGAATCTCCAATGTGGTCAAAGAACTTTTGCTGGGCTACTGGTAGATATTCCTGACCTAGGCGTTAAGCACCTGACCGTAATAAAAATGTAAAACTCTTCAAACACAGAATCTTGCACTATTTTTCTCTGCCGTGAACTGCCAGCACTATTTTTCTTCCAGAAGACATGCCACCGTACACTACGGAAAAATGCTTTTAAATAACAATGTAAAATATTCTGTTAATAAATGAACTCTTTGAAATGTACCGCATAAACCTCTGGCAGCAAATGGTTAATAATGCATATATACAAATGCACCCCTCATCCCCCCCAAGCAAAAGTTTAAATACCCCCTCTGCCTTATGCAAACATGTACAGCATGTCACCTACACCTCCCATAACCCTTCTCTTCATGTCTCACCAGCCCAGGGACTTGCAAACAGCTCCCTATTTCCTCTTAATGGGAGGAGAACAGAGGTATAAAGCATCGAGCAAGAAATCAATATTTGATGAGAATTTGCCAGAGGAGCCTAGCTCTATGCCTGCTGCCTCTGAAGGGGGGGACTGTCAGATGAGGCAATTAGGAAAAGCAATTAAAAACAAACATGAAATAAATAATGAGGGGGATGATTCTCACAGCCAGGCAGCTTCAGATCCATCCAGTAAGGGGCACTGGGAAGCAGGTTTTTATATGTATTATTAAAAGCTTCAAGGTGTTAGAGATGCTCTATAATCATAATTCTTAAACAGTCTGTGGTGCCGCTACAAAAACAAACGGACAATTGCAACAGCTGCATTACAGGCATGCAGGCAGCGCTCACAGCTGTATACTAAATAAATATAGTGTATGCAATATCCGCAGGATGCCCATGCAGCTGTCGCGGTCAAATACATGCAATCCGCAAGCGTTAACGGTGTGAATATATAAACGCGCACACACGTATACAATTATTTATTTATTTTCTTAAACATAATATATCATTCCAATATAATATGTATTTCCTTAAATATATACATACAGTAACCAACTCCTAATTACTGAATAAATATACATAATTTATATGTGTTTGTTATTGTGTATGGTGTGTATATATATATATATATATATTTATTTTTTCTTTATATATGTGTGTGTGTGTATATATATATATATATTTCTACATATATGTCTGTTACTGTATATACTGTATGTATTTTCTAGATACAGCATTTAATGCCTGCACATTATTATCAGAATTTTGAAGACTATGTGAACTATCCATGTTTGTATTACAATTTACACACAGCCAGTGCTGCAGCCATACAATTGCTAAGAATTAGAATGAATGAAATCCTCCCCCTGCTCTCAGACTGGGACTGACACTTCTGGATTGCGTGAGGGATTTCTGCTGCTCGTGGCCCCGGTTCACTTGGCCGGCACGCTCCAGCCCGGGTTTTGCGGCTTGCCCCGTGTCAGCCAGAGAGCTCGGAATAACAAAGGCGAGTTACAGAGCAGCGCCAGGCTGCGGGGGGCGGGCCGGAGTGACGTCAGGGAACAATGCCTGCCTGCGGGGCCACGCATGCGCACGTGGCTAGCCAGGCTTCCAACATGGGAGGATGTGTTCAGTGCCTGCATGTCGCTTGTAAATAGCTATATTTATATTCATGCAAAAACTAATTTTGTGGAACACTGCCTATGTGTTTATATGGATTTACCCGCATTGCACTTAAGAAATAAGTATAAATACACATCCATATACCATGTTACATTATATAAATATTTACACATACAGTCTCTGTCTTTATATATATATGTATACCTAGTGAGAGGATTAATGTTTAGTGTAGTATGTTACTGCTATGCAATATAGGTGATCATGTGTAGTGTAATGTGTTCGGGTAATAGAGGTGATCATGTGTAGTGTAATGTGTTCGGGTAATAGAGGTGATCATGTGTAGTGTAATGTGTTCAGGTTATATAGGTGATCATGTGTAGTGTAATGTGTTCGGGTAATAGAGGTGATCATGTGTAGTGTAATGTGTTCGGGTAATAGAGGTGATCATGTGTAGTGTAATGTGTTCGGGTTATAGAGGTGATCACGTGTAGTGTAATGTGTTCGGGTAATAGAGGTGATCACGTGTAGTGTAATGTGTTTGGGTAATAGAGGTGATCACGTGTAGTGTAATGTGTTTGGGTAATAGAGGTGATCACGTGTAGTGTAATGTGTTCGGGTAATAGAGGTGATCACGTGTAGTGTAATGTGTTCGGGTAATAGAGGTGATCACGTGTAGTGTAATGTGTTCAGGTTATATAGGTGATCATGTGTAGTGTAATGTGTTTGGGTAATAGAGGTGATCATGTGTAGTGTAATGTGTTTGGGTAATAGAGGTGATCATGTGTAGTGTAATGTGTTCAGGTAATAGAGGTGATCATGTGTAGTGTAATGTGTTCAGGTTATATAGGTGATCATGTGTAGTGTAATGTTTTCGGGTAATAGAGGTGATCATGTGTAGTGTAACGTGTTTGGGTAATAGAGGTGATCATGTGTAGTGTAATGTGTTCGGGTAATAGAGGTGATCACGTGTAGTGTAATGTGTTCGGGTAATAGAGGTGATCATGTGTAGTGTAATGTGTTCGGGTAATAGAGGTGATCACGTGTAGTGTAATGTGTTCGGGTAATAGAGGTGATCACGTGTAGTGTAATGTGTTCAGGTTATATAGGTGATCATATGTAGTTTAACGTGTTTGGGTAATAGAGGTGATCACGTGTAGTGTAATGTGTTCAGGTTATATAGGTGATCATGTGTAGTGTAATGTGTTTGGGTAATAGAGGTGATCATGTGTAGTGTAACATGTTTGCCCCCCATGTAGTGACATCACAATGCCCTACCCACATGATTTGCCTATGTTATGACATCACATATGCCCCATCCCTGAGGGACTGCTGCTACAGCTGTCTGGGCGACTGGCAATTATTAATGCTCTTTGTTGGGTCTGCCTGGGCAGCTCATTTTAGGCATGCGCAGCCCATTTTATTAGGGCGTGCACCAGGAAATTCTTTCCTTGTGCTATTTTTTATTGTTAGGTAAGTGAACATTTATTAGAATGTTTAGTGGATGTGTGGTGTGTTTGTGGGTGTGTGTCTTGTGTAGGATGGATGAAAGTGTTGTAGCTATGTGTCAAGTATATGTTGAGGGATCACCTGGACTATAAGGAAGGGGAGGCATGACTGCTGCCCTACAGTAAGGGGTGGGATAGAGAGAGATACAAGGTTGCAGAGAGATGGGATGGTATAAGAAAGGGGTAGAGGGGAGGGTACTCACCAGTTGCAGAAGGAACAGGCTGGAACAGTTTTCCCTTTAGCCTTCTGCTGTTCAAAAAATAATAATTTAGAGTTAGCTTAGGGCTTGTTTACTTACTTGAGAGTTAGTGTCCTAGGCATCCCCTTGTTCACGATGGCTGCTGTGTCCAAGGATGCGTTGATCGGGATGCTGCAGACTTACCTGGTCTCCAATGGAGCAGGTTCCCTGTCGGATATGATGGCCGGTCTTCCCCAAGGGTTGATGGGAGCAGAGCAGCAGGTGGCGGAGAGTCCATCTCTGGCCAGTGGTGGGAGGCCGAGGCGTTCCAGGCCTCCTACTCACCTTTCACTGAGTCCGGTTCGATGGAGCAGCGGAACAGAGGATGGGACGAGCGGAAGCCAGTCGGCACTTGGCAGTGGAGCGGTGGTTCCGGGGCTTCCAGGAGGCGGCCGAGAGCTGAGATGTTAGCAGGGAGTCGTGCCCAAGATGGCGGAGCACGGGAAGATTGCTCTCGGAGTCCCCCTTCTTTTCCGGTCCGGGCGGAAGTGACAGTGAGACTCCGGACGTCTGGGCGGAGTTTGGAGGCGCCAGACGTCACGCGGGGCGCGTACGTGACAGACGCATGGCGCGGAGTGCAGA